CTCGGGTTCTGCGGCAGCGGAAGGTTCGGGGTGTCCACGGTGGTGGCCGTATCCCTGTATCCCAGCCCCGTGCGGGGTCGGTCCCCTTTTCTGGGCGCTCTCCGAACCCTCTCGGTCCTGATTAAGGAAGGGGAGATCCAAGCGGTGGAGCCACTCGGGCGCCGTGGACGGGCCGGACTGGGCGTCACTGCGTGGAGGGGGTGCTGCAGCGTGGCAGCCGAATGAGGGCCTCCGGAGCCCAGAGCAGGGAAGGCAGGGATGAAGGGCAGGGTGCGCCCCGACCCAAGGGATTGGAAAAGGGGTGGGCTCCACGGGAGGAGGGGGCGGCGAGCTCTGGGGACCCTCCGTGCCTTCCGTCAGACCCCAGAGAGAGTTTGACCCCAGACTTTCTCCAGTGTCCATGGCTCGGGGCGTCAGCGGGGGTGGGAGGGGAGCACAGATTGGGCGTTGTGGTGGGCCGAGGGTGGAATGCATGTGAGGGGAGAGGCAGGGAGGCTCCGGGATGGTCCAGCAGCCGCTAGCGCTACCCTTTGATGGCTCCCAGGCGCCCTCGCATTTGCCTTCTCAGGGCCTGCTGAGCTTTCCGCCCTCAGTAGCCTGTGTCCTAGCGCCCTTGTCCCCATTAGAGAGGCACAGGAGCTTGGAGATCTGCCAGGGCTAAAATGGAGCGGGCGGGTGCAAAAGGGAGGCTGGAGGGGGTGGCTGGGCCCAAGGAGGACAACCCCCACTGGCCCACCTGGGAGAGCCCAGGGCAAGCCGCTGTTCAGGCCAAAGAGTGAGAGGAAGGGAGGATGGACAAGAGGGAAGCCCCCCAGTGGATGTCGGGTGCTGCCCAGCAGCCAAATCCGGAAGGAGAGAGGGTGATCCGCCCAGGAGTCCCCTGTCACTAGGCTGGGAGGGGAGGCCCCAGGCCCCACCTACACTGCCCTTCTCTGACTCTGGAAGATGGGTCACAGGAATTGGGGACATTCCACGTTGGCATCTGTATTAGATTAATAGTCACAAAATGCAGCAGAGACTCAATCCTGTAATCCCAGCTACTCCAGAGGCGAAGGCGGAAGGATCAGGATTCCAAACAAACCTGAGCGGCTTAGGCAGACCTACCTGTCTCTCAGTAAATTTGGGGGGCCAGCCTCCGACTTGGTGGTTAAGGCAGCTAGGTCCCCCATGGTCAACCACAAGGTTTGAGTCCTACACGAGGTGGCTTGAAAAACATACCAGACAGCACTTGAAAGTATTAAAAACAGATTAGGTCATGCAAAAGATCAAATCTCAGTTCTAGAAGAACCTCTGACCTAGAAAAACTTACCAAAGGGACCAGCAGGTGGCCTAGTGGTTGAGGTGCTGGACACTCCCCCGTTGCTCAACCGTGGTTTGAGCCCTGGACCGGGTGGCTTGCTTTCTTGCTTCCTCTCTCTTTCTCTCTCTCTGGTCAAATTAAAATAAGTAAATGAATAAATAAAATAAAGCATTTTTAAAAAAATAAAAGAAAAAAACCCCAAAAACACTGAGAAAGTAACTCTCAAAAATGAGAATAATAGGGAAACAGCAGTTAGTGTAATGGCTATGTTGCTGGACTCCCACGTAGTCAACCGCGGTTCGCGTCCCGGACCCGGTGGCTTAAAACTCACACCGGGCGCACGTGCATGCATGCCCAAGATCCCGAGAGGAGAATGGAGGAGAAGGGATTGAGGCATGACCATCCCCCCTTG